AGTCAATATTGACCGATGTGTATAAAATGTGGATAAAAATGTACATATATATATATTTATATACTGACGTAGTCATTTTGATGGTATGTATATCTTCGTTTAGATTATTCAACTATGGATCCGTATTCCGAGATCTCGGAACCCGGAACCGGAAACGCCAAGCATCGGATGTTTATTTGGCACATTCCATGTAGTAATTTGCCGTCTTCTTTTGTACATCCGGACATTAAGTGCACTTCCGGATAAGTATTTTGCTACTTATATTATTAGCCATTCATTTATGGAACTGTGATTCAAATCAACCGAATAGGCTCCGAATGCCTCATAGATCAGCTGATACCGCTTATCCCTTTGTTGACCAATACACGTATAGGTGACTAAAAGTAGTCAATTTGGTGAAGAGGGGTTGGAAGGCCGAATGGTTAGCCTGTGCGCGTTGTATCATAACTTCTGTCATTGAGTCTATTGGTGTGTTTTCGATTCAAGGAGTAGAGTCGTCTGTCCGGTTTCCTCCCACTGCTAAAGACTCCTACGCGCAAACGAATTATTGAAATAGAGTTGAACCATGTGTTAGTCCCGAAATTACCTAGTTTGTGTCGATTGGACGTTAAACCCTATCTCTCCTCCCTCTCTCTCTCTCTCTCTCTCTCAATTTGGTGTAATGGTATATAACCTGTTCTAATTAATTCCTAAGCAGAACAGTAGGACGTTAAAACCCATTTCATTTCATTCGTTTAATTACTAAGTTTAGTTTCATGTTTTAGATGTATCTAATGCCAGCCAGCCACTGTCGTACGATGCGTTGCGATAGGAATGTCCGTATTAAGTCCACGATCTGCTACGTGCTGATACGTTTCGATACGATCAACACGATTGCTACGACTGACCTTAATATATGATAAGACCTGATAGGATCGCCACGATTACTCCACGATTAAAACCACGATTACACTCGTAATAGTGAGAACCGAGCATTACAATTGACTATATCTTTGGATCTCACTTGATGCCACTGTAATAGCCAGGAAGACTGCATATTTTGACGTCCTAATAGGAAATATACCAGGAAAACCCATTTTAGAACGTTTATCTGAATAATATACTCGATCATGCAACAATCAAGGGGAGGGGAGGGGGTACCATCATCATTTTTTAAGTCGATTTTACGTTGACATACGAGGCATCAAAATGCCACACGTGTTTTGGGGGGAAAAAACGGTTTTAATTTATCATTTAAAAGATCAAAGCGGAATGTCATGCCATCGAAACCCGCAATTTCACTGTTTTTACTAACTCGTTTTAATTTGAAATTCCAAGAATAGATATGAATAGGTAGTTGGACTTGTTATTACAATAATTCATAACACCTGTTAGAAATTATATTAATAATGCTAATATGTTATAACTAATGTGACTCGACAGACACGTGTTTCAAGTGAGAGTATTGCCTCAAATGTAATTTAAAAAAAAGGGAATATAATTTATAATTTATATTTTAATTTCCGATCCCCATCGCCCCCCCGTCAGTTTTTTTTTCTTGCTCCATTTCGTTTCATATTCTGTATTTTCGGGTGGAGTCAACTTTTACCTAATAACTGACAGATCCTGTCATTGTCCGCCCGGCAATCTAATTAAAATTATTTGGGTTTTTTTTTTCAATTCGAATTTCGTTTTATTTAGTTCCATATTCCGTATTTTTACTTTACCGGATTCAGTTTTACGGCTAAATCTATTTGTTAAGGCCAGCTCAATTTTTGTCAAGGTCGTTCAGATGTAAATAAGCTAAGAACACGTGATTGTTGGCGAGATTGTAGGTTAGGTTTATGGTAAGCAATGGGGCTAGGTCCAGGGTTAGGGTTGGGATTAGGGCTAGCCCGGTTTACATATCGTGATCTATGACTAAAAATTGAGCTGGCCTTATCATTTAGCCCTAACCCAGTTTTACTTAACATCTGACAAGTTATATCATTGTGCCCTGTTCTTGGTTAGGCTGTATACTGTAAACAGCCAATGAAAACGCTGCTGTTCCAACAAATTGTCCACTCATCTATTTATAAACTCAACAACGTCTCGTGCACAACACAGTCGATCGAACAGCAGCCGTTCTGGATGTATATTAGAACTTATGATGACGAATCAAAACAAAGATACATTGGTCAAATGAGTGATTATACCAATACAATAGGAAGTTTCATCAAATTTACTAGTATGATCTGTTCCTTTACGTACAATGATTATTCTTATGATCTGCAGCGGGCGTCTACCATTTAGTGTAAGCCGTGTGGGTTTTTCCCGGGACCTCCGGGTCCCCTCCCACAGCTTCAGGACCATAATGGATGTTAGACGAAATGACTGACCTAATTTGAGCCAAGTGTACATTAGACCCATCGCTTTCTATGTATAGTAGGTACAGAAAGACAGCAATGCACGCAAACAAAACCATATTTTTCTATTGTAAGTAAATGACAATAAAATTGAACGATATGTTAGTCGAAATGACCTAATTTGAGCCGAGTGAATGTAAGACCCATCTTACTCTATGTATAGTAAGCGCAGAAAGGCCGCAATGCACGGAAACAAAACATATTGTGCTATTGTAAGCAAATGACAATAAATCAACAAAGACACAAATGTAAACACAACATGGAGAGACCTCCACTTTAACCGCGATACACAATTCGCCTAGGTCGGTCGGTATGTTTACATGTTTTTATTGAACGCGATCTGTGTTAAAGAGATCAATATATTCTTGTGGTATATACTTTTATGTAACGATTGATCTATTAACAATAGCAGGAAAACAAACCCATATCTTACACACTGTAATATATACATGATACCTTTAGACTAAGTCGTGGTATATACACTTTATCGACTGGATAGAGAGAGAGAGAAATGGGGTTTATCGTCCACTCGACACAAACTGGGTCATTTCGGGACTAACACATGGCTTGCGTGTAGGGGGTCTTTAGCAGACGGAGGACCCAGAGAAAACCCACGAGGCTGGACAGGCGACCCTACTCCTTGTCACGTACAATCAGGGAATCATCGATTGGGCAACACACAGAGTAAACAGAACATGAAAACAGTACGATGACAATAACAGTTTTCGATAAAAGGCATAAAGTACCAATACTAAATTTTTCGTATGAAATACCTTACGGAAGTCAGATCAGAAGCACGTGGTAGAACAAGAAATAACGCGACCTCGTGCACGATAACATAAAACACACAGAAAACAATACACAAGAGAGAGAGAGAGAGAGGGGGGGGAGGGTAACGTAAACTCGACACAAACTATGTCATTTCGGGACTGAAATATGGTTCAATTTTATTTCAATTCAATAATCCGCTTGCGCGTAGGTGTCTTTAGCAGTGGGAGGAAATTGGAGGGCCCGGGGAAAACCTACGAGGCTGGACAGGCGACCCTACTCCTTGTCACGTACAACCGAGGAATCGAAACCACGCCAGTTGACACAATGACAGACCTTATGATACAACACGCACGCGCTATTAGTTTTGTGCCGAGTGGACGTTACCCCCCCCCCTCTCTCTCTACCCCAATCAAGACGCCTGTATGCGCCTGGTTGTTCGGGTGGAAGACGAAAGATATGCGCACACATTAACCAGTGCACACAAAAATTTCATTTGACAGTTTCAATTTTGAAAATTCTTCACAAAAAATAAAATTCCTTATAAAACTAAAGATATGCGTACACATTAACCAGTGCACGTAAAAACGGCATCTGACAGTTTGAATTTTGGAAATATTTTTTTTTATGACAGAAATTCTTGTCAAAAATAAAATTCCTTATAAAACTAAATCTCAAAATGATTATACTTCTATAAGATTTATAGCCTTACGATGGTTCACCCCAAGGGCGTGTCCTATCGGCATGCCTTTTCTATTTAATTATAAAAGAATTCTTGAATATGATTTGTGCTTGAAACAAAACAGGAAAACACATTAATCTTTTATGTTAAAGAACTTTGGTTTAGGTTGAAACAATTTAAAATAATTCTAGAAGTGTTATTATTTAACAAGAAGAGCGAGAACTCAGCGTGAGCACGACTGGTAAATTTTAAACGCATGTCAGAATTTATTTGATCGTTAGTTTTCTTTGCCCTGCCCTTTTTTATTTTTTAATATTGTAATATTTTTTTAAGGGCATAAAGGAATTTTAATAGAAAATTTCTCAGTAATTGTTTTCCCCTTCACTTTATCGGTTGACAGTATTGTATTATTTTTTAAGGGCATAAAGGAATTTTAATAGAAATGTTTTCAGTAATATTATTTCCCCTTCACTTTCTGGGTTGACAATATTGTAATATTTTTTTTAAGGGCATAAAGGAATTTTAATATAAATTTTCTCAGTAATATTTTTTTCCCCTTCACTTTCTGGGTTGACAATATTGTAATATTTTTTAAGAGCATAAAGGAATTTTAATAGAAATTTTCTCAGTAATTTTTTTCCCTTTCACTTTCTGGGTTGACAATATTGTAATATTTTTTTTAAGGGCATAAAGGAATTTTAATAGAAATGTTCTCAGTAATATTCTTTTCCCCTTCACTTTCTGGGTTGACAATATTGTAATATTTTTTTAAGGGCATAAAGGAATTTTAATAGAAATTTTCTCGGTAATATATTTTTCCCATTCTCTTTCTGGGTTGACATTGGATACTCTGTCATCCTTTCATTAAGATTATTGGGGTTTGATAAGGTTTGAAAAGACCGTACGAATGAGAATCTAAACCGAATCATCAATAAAAGACATTGTTGCAGTAAAGCTGGTCCTTTTCAGATAGAGTGTTCCTTTCGTGGTATGTATGTTCCTCTTAAGCCTTAATCAAACTATTCTATAACCTAGAGTTCTTCCTTGTCTCATGTTCGCTGTTTGAACAGGGATTGTAATTCGCCCGATCCACACTTTCACCTGTGTGTCGGAATGTGTCGAGATTCAATACGTGATATGTGATTCTAGTTTTTATTCTATTGCAGGTTATCAGGTGTATTCAGGTAAATCAGAAACACAAACAAAGGTGGTTGTATACATCTGTCACCAGTAGCAAACCCACCAGAAACGAATGAACTATCACCAACCTCCGCCAACCATCAGTTAAAAAAAGGAGAAAAATGCTGGCGATAGATACGAGCACGAGCTATAACTACTCGTATTAAATTCAACAAGAAAAAAAGGGACCAACATATGTTCGTATTGTACATTAAGTTTCCGTCGACGGAAAGTTAAAGTAGGGAAAAAATCTGCCAATTGTCACAATCCCGAGAAACTAATGTTCATATCAACATTCAATAAAAGCGAATTATCCACGAATGTTGCCATTGTCGTTACAATAACGATATCTAAAACACGATTGTCACCTACTTGTTTACACACATTTCAAGATGAAAGCATTACAATCGCCCCTACTACAATCAGTTTACGTCAAAGTTTAGGTCTTACTTTCATACGGATCTTACTGATTTCATAGTTCTCGGTTTAATGTGTCGTGTGGATGTTTACACAAGGCACTTGAAGTCTGAAAGCAATCATAAACTCATAATAATCATATACAACGTCTTTGTTCTCCGCGGATGTACTCAATACTTATATACCCACATCACAGGGTACAAATGTTTATACTCGCAAAGTTAGAGAAGGATTGGGTGTCCAAGTCGTTTTTGATAAACAAATGAGCCAAGGAAAATCGGCGACTTGTTACTTAGGGTCTCGTGTGTCGCTCGATCGTACTCTATAGTAAAGCATGTAACGCTGAAATCAGCTGGCTTTGACTTCCCGCTTGAGTATACACGAAACTGAAAGACGTGAATAATGTGCTATATTATATGAAAATCTTAGTGTGATGATGACCACAACTTGTAACTGTTGCAAGTGTCGTGTGGTAATGTCTAACGTCTATTAGAAAACCAGGGTTAACATCCGATCACTAATATTACAGAATACGAATTCAACGCTGGATTATAATCAATAGGAGTATAGTGTTGTAAAGACTTGAAGAGTATATCGCTTGCTCCCGAATAAACAAAACAAAGCCAAAAAAACTTTTAGTGTAACCATATACGGACGGATTAAAACCTATATGATACTATCAGCAAATAACGGTGAGTGATTTTATCTAATACATATGTAAAATGATTAAGCAAATAATGTATAAACTTGAATCAAATGGATGACGGCTGTTATCTTTGGGGTTTTAGTATAACACTTGAAAGGTGTGATCTATGGCTAGAATTTGGACTAAATTATCTTACAGTCTTTTTATATATAAACATTATTTTAATTCGGGATGTCTGAATGGGATTGGGGAAAAGGCTTAGCCTATATAAAACCCCTCTACCTGTTACAGTCCACAATGTTTTTTGTTTTTTTTATAAGCCCTTAAATTTTTTTTATTAAACATCAGGGATGAATTTATTTGACTAAACAATAGACGAAAAAAAGGATTTGAATTAGATTGTAGTTTTTTTTATATACAAGCCCTTTTAAGAATTTTTATTAAGCATCGGGGATAAATATATTTGAAGAACGTGAATTAGATTATCTTATAGATTTCACCGTTGGACTTGGTGACAACAAGGACATACGCTAACTGTAGTTTTATTTGAATGTTAAGTGTCAGTGCTTATTGTATATGATTTTGCCTTATGTGGTGTTGTTTTTAATGTGTTTGATTTTGGAATACCAGAATAGTTAGTGTTCCATTCCAGTTCTTAGGCATGTCTGGTCATTGTTTGTTTGTTTTCGGGAATCACCGTCGGCGGCTTCGGGTTCGACCCCCGTGTTGGCTAAGAAAATTCAGCGGTATTTTCTAGACTGGTAAGGTACAGTGTCTAGTCGTTCGGATGGGTCGTAAAACTGAGGACCAGTGTATACGTTTGTGTGCACGTAAAAGAACCTTTTACAGTTGGAATTCTATAAAGAATGGGCAGAAACGCTGCTGCCCGGGCAAGATCCCCCCTGGGCAAATTGTCCTCAATACCCCGTCCTCACGTGCAGAAACACAAGACGTTAAACTACATTTTTTTCATTCATTCATTCATTCATTGTTGGTTGTACGTGACAAGGAGTAGGGTCGCCTGTCCAACCTCGTGGGTTTTCTCCGAGTCCTCCGGTTTCCTCCCACTGCTTAAGACGCCTACGCGCAAGCGAATTATAGAAATAAAATTGCACCATGTGTTGGTCCCGAAATGACCTAGTTTGTTTTTGATACGTGCAAGCGAATTATTGAAATAAAATTGAAACATATGTTAGTCCCGAAATGACCTAGTTTGTGTCGTGTGGACGTTAAACCCCATCTCTCTCTCTCTCTCCCTCCCTCTCTCTCTCAATAATATTGAACCATGTGTTAGTCCCGAAATGACCTAGTTTGTGTCGTGTGGACGTTAAACTCTCCCTCACTCTCTCTCTCTCTCTCTCATTGTTAGTTTATTTGAATATTCCATACTCTATATTTATGTAATATCGTTTATCAGTATGAATGCTGGCGGTCGTTTGTGCCGTAAGATTAAACGAATATAGCTTAGTTTACACGTATATAAAGAAAACTAAAAAAAGCTAAACGCCACAGTTGTCGATAAACAAAATGGAACGAAATCGAAGATTTTACAACTTAAGAAGGTCACATCAAAAGAAATCCTTCTCAGAAATATGTCAATAATTGTAAGTTACTGATAAAGTAAATATTGAATGTTCATTGGTTAAGAAAAGTAATTCTGCGGCATGTTTAGATTGGTTATACTTAGACGTTATTATCGCACACCCCTCGTAGCACGTGCTGAATTTCCGTACCTGTTTATATATTCAATTAAGATTTTGGGGATAAACACTTAAAAAGTTCATATTTAGGTATCCTTTATTCTATATTTATTTTTTCAACATTCTGGGGAATGTAATGTAAATAACATCTTAAACGAGGCCTAAAAAGAAGCGTTTAATGGGTTTTGTTAAGTAGAAGGGAGGGTTATGCCTATATGATTGGTAATATGGCTTTAGGTATTTTTAGCTATTGCTATTCTTGTGACACCATTAAGGGTAATTTTCAGTAAAAGCCACAGTATGTATATATTATGTCAATAAACAAGATGAGTTCTTTGATCGTTCTCAATAACCCTGTCTAGGTATTAATATATATATATATATACATATCAGCAGGTAATATTTAAAGAGAGAGAGAGAGAGAGAGAGAGAGGGGGGGTTAACGTCCACTCGACACAAACTAGGTTATTTCAGGACAAACTTATGGTTCAATTTTATTTCAATAATTCGCTTGCGCGTCGGGTGTCTTTAACAGTGGGCGGAAACCGGAGGGTCCAGAGAAAACCCAACAGGTTGGACAGGCGACCCTACTCCTTGTCACGTACAACCGGGGAATCGAAACCACACCAGTTAACTCAATGGCAGCAGGCCTTATGATACAACGCGTACGCGCCAATCACTCGGCCATCCCATTGCAGGTCTTTCATTAGGCCTGAAATGTTATATAAATTATTAATTAGACATTAATTAACTTATCCAGACCATAATCAACTCTGGACGTCATCTCTAGCCTGCGATATTTACTGAATTTGAATACATTTTGTGATGGATGATTTAACGTCAAAATGGATAATCGAGTGTTTTTTTGGTTTTTTTTTTTATCGTACCGACTTTAGTAACGATGACCGAGACTAAGCCTAAAATTCAATCGCTGATATCTCGGTTGAGAGTTATGCAATTTGACAGAAATTTTCAGCAGATTCTCTTTCCGTTATCTATTTTTGAACTATTATAGCAAGAACTGCCAGCTGTTATCTAATGCCGCTTTAATGAACTGGGATTTTTAAAGACATTGTAATTAGGCTATTTCGTTTAATTCATAGATATCAACAGAAACCGCGTAAAAAAAAAAACAGGGACTGCGCCTTTAACTAATCACGTATTATATATCCACGCTGTCCCCAGACGCCATTGCTAAGAACCCTCTAAACAAATGGTTTAACTAAAGGAATGGTTGACGTCGAGTTTATGTTATAAATTTATAAACAATCAACGGCCTATTAGCGTTTTCTTTGCTTGTGTTTGTAGTTCACTATGACTACATATTCAAATGGATTTATTGTTTATGTATACTAATACACATAACAATTACGGCCTTTAGATCATGTAACTTAATATGAAACTAAGGCTCTTTTATGACATTATAGCTTTATCATATTTGAAGTATGGAATGTTTAATGATTTTAATCATCGTTTATGCAAACGTAGCCAATAATTAACACATAACTGTGTGCTGGGATTTGTATTCGACATTATATTTTAAAGTAGCTAAGTCTCTAACTCGGTATCATCCAAAATCTTTCAACGTTAAAGTAGCTAAGTCTCTAACTCAGTAGCATCCATTCCGGCGTTGTTCTCCCTTGTCAGTGATGCAGGACGGAGGGGCTGACAAGGAAAGCTGTCTAGTCGTTCGGATGGGACGAAAAACCGAGGTCCTGTGTACACATTGGCGTGCACGTAAAAGATCCCTTGGCAGTTGGAATTCGATATAAGAGTGGGCAAAATTTCCCTCATAGCACACTGTATGGCGTATGCCCGTCTCCATTAGCCCAGGTTAGGAGCAGAACAGTAGGACGTTAAACTCCATTTCATTTCATTTCATTTCAGTAGCATCCAAAGTCTCACACATTGAAAACGCGAAATATTTGTCAATTTAAATCAACAATATGATCTTACCGGGAAAAGATGGGCTTCTGATATCCAATATTTAAGACAAAATAAATATTTTACCAATGGTACACGAATCGTGTATCATAATGCGTTTCGGCGCCATTTGTAACAAGGGACTCGAAGAACGAGGCTAGACATATTCCACGAGTCGTGTCACACGGTGACGTCATATTCTTATCTGGAGAGCATGCGCAATAAATACTCTCTATGTAGACAGGAATAACCAGACGCTAGCGATTGTCATTCGGTTGAGACTTCTGGCGTATTTCGCCAAACATAACTGATTAGAAATTGAAGCAAAAACAGAAGCGATTAAATGTAAATCAGTTTATATACATTCATATTACATTATTATATACGTCGCGTCCCATTTGTGTCATCCCCGGTTTTACGTGACAAGGAATAGGGTCGCCTGTCCAACCTCGTTGGTGTTCTCCGGGTCCTCCGGTTTCCTCCCACTACTAAAGACCCCTACGCGCAAGCGAAGTATTGAAATAAAATTAAACCATATGTTAGTCCCGAAATGACCTAGTTTGTGTCGAGTGGACGTTAAACCCCCTCTTTCTCTCTCTCTCTCTCTCTCTCTCTCTCTCTCGCGTAAAATACGAGGTTCACAAACCAACTTGGATTTCAGCGATTATAACCTTTAAAAAAAAACACACTGCGTACTTTATTGTTCTCTGGTGTGCTGATGACAATCTGGTCAAAATATCTTATTGATCATAATCAAAACCTTGAAACGACATTGGTCGATTGACTTGACCGTCGGTTATCAAGTCTCTTTCATCCATAGCCCTGCCGTTCCGTTATCAAGTCTCTTGACAATCCGTTATCAAGTTGGTACCCCAAAAATTCCTAAACGTTGCTCACTGCCTGCTGATCACAGTGTGCTATGATGGAACTTTTGACAAGGCAGCGACGATTCCGCCTACCCATTATCGAATTCCATCTGCTATGGGTTCTTTTACGTGCACGCCAACTTGTACACTGTCAGGTCCTCCATCCTACACCACTGAAAAAGGGGGAAACTCCATTGGAAACTTTTCCGGCCAACACCAGGATCGAACCTTAGACCTCCTGGTTAGTCCCGAGCCAGTGCCACAAATTCGGGAAGTGTCCATGCTGCATGAGAACATTGCCGTGGCGGTTGTCGGGCTATGGGGGTTGAAGCCATGGGGACAAACAACGTGACTTATTTGCTGTCATGTGTGGGTGGGTGGGTGGGTTTATGGGGGGCGGGATTAACCTACCAAGAGACGTTGATGTTAAAAACAACGGAAGCTTTATATATACTGGACTGTAAATGTAATAGAAACATTAATGTCGTGTAATCTCCGGGATAGACTACGTAAGCTTTTAATACAACAACTCAAATGTATTTCGTACAAATCAGCTG